TCTTTGTCTGAATACTCCAGTCTTCAGCACCTTGCTATATCAAGTTTTAGCTTCTAGTACTTGCCCATGTTCAGCCTGCAATCAGACTTAAACCACTCCACTTAAAACCATGCGTTTTCACAGGTGCTAAGTATAATTTCATAGTAACTTACTGGAAATAAATTGTCTTGACTTGAAGCTTTTGAATTATATTTGCTGGGCTAGTAATTAGAAAAGTCTATATTTTAGCTTGTAAAATGATCAAATTTGATCTGTAAGTTACTGAGAGAGAATGAGCTTGAAAACAGTGCTTTTTTGAGAGACGCTTTTCTGATTAAAAACACACTTTAAGAGGCAATAATATGAGAAAAACTAGGACAGTTAACTGCTCAAGGTTAAATTTCCCTAAAAAGTCTGTTAATGCCTGGTTACAGGCAATAAACTACACAGAAAGAAATAGAAGCATTTACAAAGAAGCATCTCTTCCAACTGAAAATGATATATTTATGTTACCTAATTATTCATCTGAACATGATGGTTCTCAGTTGCCTATGCAAAGAGTTATCAGATTTTAAGAAAATCTGGGAAGAGGTTTGCAAGCTTAGAAGAGGACATGAGAGAACTCACTTTTTTTTCCTGTTGTGTATGTTCTATCTTAATTATTTTTCCTTAAGAGCTGTACGGATGGTGTTTGAAAACATCTCTTAAAAGCTGCATAGGCACCTGTTTTCAAGAAAGAGAAATTAATGTCAGGTGAAAGTGTCCTGAAATCAAGCCAAATCCAGAATTTTCTGAATGTTGAAGCATAAGCTTTTTTCCCACCGAACCCCCTCAAATTCTTTAATGTTTTCTGCTTGCTGGTTATTGGTTTTTCTCTGTAAATTGTGGCCCTCCTATGAATGCGAAGCCTATCTTTTGTCTGTTTTGCATGGACAAATGCCATTTTTCTCCTCTTCTTTCAATTATTTTTAATGCATGTGAGGAAAAAAAACTCATAAGTTTTATTTAGGCTGCTTTGGCAGCATTTCCTTGTTTAAGATATAAATCAAATTTGGAGCTGCTTCTCTCCTGGGGGACAAATTGTTTATCTGAATATGAATGTACTTGTGAATCAGACACGGGGAAGGTACTTGTGCTATTGCTGTGAAATAGCAATTATTTGCATTGTTTTACATTGCTTTGCTCTATAGCATGAACTTGGGCAAAACTGCACACAGATGCAGGACGTTTCCAGGTCACTGCAGGATCAGAGCCATGGAGCTCAGTCCTCCAAATACTTACGTGCGTGTTTACCTATTGGTGCACATCCCATTATAGTCAACAGAATTCTTCCAGTCTGTAAAGGTAAGCGGTGCATGACATGACACTGTTTGTGAGGTCTGGGCCCAAGATTGTCCCCAAGGCAAAGCTGCGTTGCAGGATCAGAGCTGCAAGGCTTTTCACAAAGAAATGCCTAGATGCTTATGAGGAGATATAACTATGTAATTTTGTGGATTTGGCCATTGATACATATTAGCCCCCCCTTTGGGAGCTAATTGCCATTTGGGCTCTGTGGTTCTTCGTTGATGTATTGATGTTCATGATACTTTTGTACTGGAGTGGTGGGTTGCAGCTTCATGCCCTTTGAAAGAGGCAACGCATTCTTTGTGCCCAGAAATCTTATACTGTATTAGCAGCTTTGGGAATAGAAAGAAAAGAGTTTTTTTTCCTTTAGTAGTACCTGCTGAAGATATTTAAGGACATGCAACAGCAAGTGCTTTCTCAGCAGAGTACACAATTATCTGTTTTGCAAAGACAGTCCAGACTTACTTTCTATACTTCTAAGCCTGACATCGTGTAGTGCTTCCGTTCATACCCAGTGAGCAGTGACTTTTATCATACTATTAGTATTCTAAACCTATAGTTTCCAAGGTTTATAACTCAACAGTAGGTTTAGACTTAGCGAATTCAGTCCAGGAGCACTATTTTTCAGTGTAAAAGATATCTTTAGTTACTACAGTATCAAGAAAACTGGACTATGCCTATTTAGGCATTTTCAGGTACTAAAAGTACAAATAAAAAAAATCATGAAAAAATGAATTGCTACAGAGTTTCATTCTGATGTTCTTCAGATTACTAGCCTCCTTTGATATAATTGAAAATATGAAAAGGCTGAGTGATAGGCATTTTAAAATCAGCTCCTGAGAACTCATAACAGACCATATTCCACATATTTCTGTGCAATTCTCATTGACATCGATGGATGTGTCCTGTACACATCCTATTTTTAAAGTACTGCATGCATAATCAGAGTTAGCATTGTTACAGTCTCTGCTGTGGGTTGGTGCAACTCTGAATGCAGATTTGTATTATCAGCCATAATGGTTCTCTCCTGAGAGAAATTCACAATGATGTTCATAAGCTGTTCTGGACTTTTAGGTAACTAATCCCATCTCACATATATACTCTCAGGTACTTTCTGTTAAAGAAAATCAAACACTTCTGATTGCATATTTATATGACAGACTCTGTTTCAGTCTGCTGGATATATTATATGCACTTTGTAACGTTCACTTACAGAGATATATAGGTTTTGTACACATGATATTAGCAGCAAAATTTAAGCTTATGATGTAAGGTGACAAGAAGCTAGCAAACGTCAATGTCAAGTTCCTTGTACTAGATCTCAGCTGTTCTACTTTTCTTTCACAAAAATGCATATGAAAGATAAATTTTAATTTCAATTTCTTGAGAATCGTACATATGTATCATTTTTCTGCCTGATCATTTTTCAAGCATGAGGTATTGTGTGTTTAATTGACATCACTTGTATGTGTTTAGGTAGTTACCATTAGAACACATGAGGACACACTGTACATATTTCCTATGCTAGAGCATGATGTGTTGGACTACAAAAACTACACTTGTTAGGCTGATTTTAGCATTTTTTCACACAGCAGGAAGCACCCATGCTGTGGTTTCTTAATGTACTGTTTAAGTACTGCACTGCAGAGTACTGTATAATAACAGTAATAATTAATAATGATCCTCATATTACTAGTACTATTACTACTATCCTGGTGATCCTGGTTGCTGTTTCAGGGTTCCCCTATCTTGGACCTTGAAACACATTTCTTTCCTTTGAGAGTTTCATTTCTCAGATGATATTGCTGAACAGAGCTGAATTTTTTGAGGACAGGTTTGTTGCATGGATTCTGATGGCTTCACATTCGTTCAGGTCTCCAAGGACCAGCACCAATAAATGTGAAAAAGACAATAGCAGATTGGCATACTTTTCCATTTCCACCAGGATGAAAAAAAATACTCTAAATTAACTCTAACCTTAAATGTATAATCTGTCCTTGGGAGCGGAAAAAAAAAAAAAGGATATTGCATCTTCAAGCTCTTGGCATCCCTTACGAGAAAAAAATTGGTTCTAAGGGTCTCTGATCTTGTGTTTTAGTAAAATAGAACTGCACGGCTGACTGACAGTTCTGATCTAAAGCATTTACGTTTAAGTTTTGATCTCTCTGCTTTTGATTAAAACTAATGAGCTCATTTAATTCAAAATGGGAATCTCTGATAAGAGAAATAAGGTTGATGTGATTGGATTAGAGGGGCAAATTAAACTCTTAGAGCAGAAGTTTGTGCTTATATAGTGTATTAAAAAGCTGTTGGCGTATTATGGCGTGTTAGATGATGAGAAAAATTTCATAGTAATTCATATTTAATCAGAAGAAATGAAAGTACTAAATATAACATGGCTCTGCTTTTCCCTCGAGTGATAAAGAGCTGTACATTTAAAATGACATCGAATTCATGCTCTCTAAAACAAAAAAACCTTAAGAGAGACACTAAAGAAAGGGGCACAGTTGTCAGTTATTTCATTGCAATGGAGTTGAAATGTCACAAATACCAGAAAACGTGACCACGTTAAAACAAGGACAATTCAGGAAATCCGTAGCTCACAAAGAAGTTTTGGTGTTTCCCTTGGCTGCATAACAAATGCTTTTTAAATATTTGGAACAGTTTGGTAGATTCTCCAAGATAGCAAAATAATTTCAAAATACCTTTTTATTCAGTGCTAATTACTCACTGAAACTAAAAGATATTTAACCTCTAACGATGCCTTCTTTTTGTAAGCCTCTTCCAGAATTTTGCCATGACCAGTATTTTGGGGAGGGTGAGAGAACTGTTGGTTATCAGGGCTAAAACAGCAATAATAAAGATTATATAATAAAGATTATCTCACTGCTGACTGGTGTTGTTCCCACTATATTATTATGTATACTGAGTATTTATTTACTATTTTAAAGTAGTTACAGTTGAGGGAATGAGAAGCAAAGGTGAAATCTGTAGTTTGAAGGAGGAAACCACTTCAGTTTGACTATGCATACATTCCATTAGTGACTGATTAGTCACTAATAATTAATGTTAATAATGTTAATAATAGTGCTAATAATAATAATAATACATGTCATTTATGTGAGCATTTTTGCCTTCAGGCTGCTCAGTGCTTTATTGATAATAATTAACCTGAATTAATGGGGAAACTAAGGCATTCTAAAAGAGCAGTGACTTACCCTAAGTGTCGCTGCAAGCAAGAAGTGGAGACCAGGGAATAAAATTCTGCAGTGGAATTTGTAGCCTCTTTCAGCAGACAGAACTGCTTGCTTAGTGAGACTTTGTCTTTCACAGAACATTGAAGAACTCTACAGTTTTAAAAAAACAACACCAAAACCTAACAAAATAAACCCAAACATTAAAAAAAAGTGGAAGAAAGGGTTAATGAGTCAAATCTCTGTTAAAAATTCTGTGGGAAAAATAACTTGAAAATGAGACTTACTGAGTATACATATATTTTTCAATTTTTTTTTTTTTTGCTAAGTAAACATTTTCTAAACGAGGTAAATTGATTACAACACTCTTAGCATCTATCAGTCATTTATTTTTAGTGAGTTCAAGGATTGCACCTGAAAAATAGCTTAGAGGGGATGTATAAAATCTAAATTATGTGTATATGTATTTTTTCTGTTCCCTAGTGGAATCTACAAGCCCCAGTTTACTAACCACTGACAACACTCTAGAGCGCTCTTTTTTCATCCGAATGAAATCTACGCTGACCAAGCGAGGAGTGCACATCAAATCATCAGGATACAAGGTAAGGATCGCACTGTAGCAAGAAATATTGACATTTTAAAATTATGTTCATGCATGTTCCAGGAACACATTAATAGTCAGAGGAAGGAAGTGTTTCACATTTGCATATGTTTCATTCCTTTTGTTAAAGAATCATTGATATAGTATTTCCAGCCTGAGGTTTGGCGGAGGTATTGCACCTCCGTTAAATTGAACATTATTGTAACAAACATTCTTTATAACAGCATGGTAGCCTTCAAAAGAGCAATGCTTCCAGAGTAAAGGTATATTTTACCAAACAAGGTGAGTCACAGTAACATCCCTCTTTCCATGGTGGAAAATTACTGCTCATTGCCTTTGACTGTTCAGTCTTGTCTTTGGGTTATGTTTTCCTCCTAGAGGTAGGATTTCTTCATGCAGACAGTATGCTAGAACTATTTAATTTCTCCACCATTCTGGCTGAAGGAGACAACAAGCCACAACAAGTACTTTTCTACCGTTTTTCTTTGATTGTCAGTCTGAGGGGCATCTGCTGCTGGGGATCATATTTGCTGAATTTCTGACTCCAAGGATTTGAAAGTGTCTTGTTCTTTATCAGCAGTAATCTCATTTTTCTTCAGTCACATATCGCTCATAGTGCCTGTAGCTATCAGTGGCTTTGCAGTATACTAAAACTAGGAGGAATAGCATTTTTAAAATTGTCAACTTGTGGAATGAAATAACTCATCCATTAACTGTTATGCGAGATAAAAGAGTGAAGTAAGGCAGTAGGTCTGAGAATGTGTACGTGTTTAAAAAAGATGCTCATCAATGTTTATTTAAGAACTTTGAACAGCGTTTTTTTTTAGTTTTCAGAGGAAGATTTAGAGTGGATTTGAATAAAATTCTCAATTCACTCAGCCCAAAAAAACTTTCTGCAAATATAACATCAAGGGAGTCTACCTAAGCAGTAAACATCTCCTGATAGAAATGTCTTCTTTTCACTTAATGAATGGGAGTCCTTTTCTTGGAGAGTTTCTGGACCAAAATGATTGAAATGGTTGTTAATGAAATTTTAGGTCCAAATCAACAGTTTCTTAAGGTACCAAATGCTATGATCTGGTAATTGGTTATCTGTCACCATCTGAAAGAATCCTTTCAGCACTTGTTCATCCTGGATAGGTTTCCAAGTCTCAGAAGGTATCAAAACTGAGAACTGTACTGTCATTTTCAGGAGGAAGAAGGCAAATTCATGAATAATGGCCATTTTCATGATTAGGCTTGGGCCATCAAGGCTAGGCCAAAGTTATATTGGCAGAGATCTTGTTTTGCTGGATTTTTTTTTGCTGCAACTATAGTGAGAAAAATTAGAGAATTCATCTGTGGATTTTGTAGTCTGACGTTTTTCACCAGCTGTAAGTGAGAAGAACAAGGAAGACATGCGAATGATTTTGTAGGGCTCTCTAACTTGCTACTAAGTTACATTCATGTCAATGTTCTAATATAAAAATATTTTTATGTGCTAGTTTTTGATTAAAAAGTCAAAAGGTAGGGTTTTTACTCATTAAAATTCAGACGGTTTTTGAAATTCGCAGTAGATCCTTTACTCAACAGAAAGACAGTGTGGTGTATCATATAATTTAATTTCTCTTTTAAGACCTGCTGATGCCTCATAGAAACATTGCAAACTGTAATTGAGATGTCATAGACAGGAGAATGACTTTGGGTAACAAATAAGGAGAAAATAGCAAATGAATTTTGAAGGATCAGATATCATTTTTCAGGCAACTTTTCCTAGTCTCAAAGAATAGAGAATAAGCAAAAGACGATAGCTGACAAAACTGTGAGGCATCAGCAAGTCAGCATGAGTAAAGCCATGTAAACAGTGTGCAAATCCTAGACGGGTGTAAATACAGAGGAATAGTTCCTCTGCTTCTGGATGTTTTGGAGAATTTTATAACTGACAGTGTTTGGCGGAATTCAACTGCATCCAGCCATATAAATTGTACTTTGGTTTTTCCAAAACATGGTTATTGACACTGTACATTCTGTGGGATGATATTTATACACAGCCTCAATAAGCCCCAGTAAAATTTTATATTTATTGCAGAAAAGTTAGATAGCATGAATGTTTTTTAAGTAAGTGTAAGAACTGTTTTGTTTAAATGTAATTCTCAGTTTGTGTACTAACAAGCGAAGCATAACACGACTCAACCACTACAGTGAAAGTTATGCACCCTTCTAGGAAAGTTACCAGCTTCTTCACTGATTTCCAAAAGTTCAGAACAAACTAGAACAAACTTAAGGCTGCTATAATTTGTTCAGGTATATATTTCATTAAAATTAGGAAGAAGACATGAGCTGTATGGATGTACAGCTATAAGAAATTATCAGAGGGAAAAATAGTTATTTAATATTAACAAAGCTCATGGGAAAACCACGGTGAGTATAGCACAGTTCTGAAACAGGAAAGCCAGCAGGTAAGTCCTGTGTCATAGGTACCTAGGAGACCGCCGCCACTTACTTCACCACAGGATGCCACCTGGGGGTCATGTGCAGCAGGGTTCTTGCAGGAAATCCTGGTGGAGCAAGCTGGCTCAGGCAGCTCTCTCTCACACCTTCAAAATACCACAGAGTACTGAAATTTTCCTTCTGGAAAAAGCAAAGGTTTCTTCTAAACAGCTTCCCTTGAGTTCTTGTGGGTACATGACCTTCTTATCAGGCATACAAACATTTTTCAGAAGCTGTGTGCTGGGAACCATGGCATCTTATGTGAGTCAGGTTTTAGCTCTGTCAAAGGTGCTCAGCTCCCCATGGTTTCAGTGCTCCAGCAGTGACAAAATTTGCATTTCTGTGAGATGGTTGCATCCCATTCCAAACCCTTGCTGTCTCCATTTTTTCCCTGCTTTGAGGACTGCCAGAGATTGTTTTCTTTAGACAGTAAATGATTGAGGTGGTCTACAAAATGCTTAGGCAATTTTCAGTATGAGTGAGCCCTGCCTCAGGAAAATCGCATAAAATTGAAAAAAGTTAGAAAATGAGATTGATTAATCATTTGGGTTGATCTAGTCAGGGCTAATTTTCTGTCAAAAGAAATGCTGGAACGAGGAACTATACTAACAGGCTGTACAGACCTATATATGTATACCGGAAAGAAACTCTGTTCCAGACTCTTCTGCTTGAACCCTGTTTATAGTCCCTTCCTGGACTGATTTAATTAGCCCTAAAATATCCCAACAGATGGAGGTATAGCCTTTTTTACCACAAATGATATTACTTTAAAAGTCAGCAATGGGAAGGTTGTTACAAGATTAATCCTCCTTCTCTCCTTCCCTTTTCATTGTTTTGCAGCTCCCTCCTTGAATGGGATTTTCCCTATTTATAACATTCTTAGGCTCAGTGCCTATAGGAAAAGGCTTAACATACAGTGCTAGAGAGCTATTCAGTTTTCAGTGAGTAAATCTGCAATCTCACAAATAAGTCGAATAAAACATGTAGTCAGCTGACAAAACACAATGAAAACAAATAAAAAGAAAAAAATGATAATAATTCCATTCACTGCAAACCTCAGAATGTATTACCATCACAGCTGTTGTCTTAAGATACATGATGCAGAGACCTGCTGTGTTATTCTCTGCTGAAAATGTATCATTTCATCCTTTTCTCTATTTTTTTCATCAATAAAAAGGAACCCTTGTATTTCATTTGGATTTTCCTTATCTCCATTTTATCTCCCTTTCTCTTTTTTTTTCCTCCGTTTGAGGGTCAACATTCTAGCTGCTGAACACTTATCCCACCTTCAGTGTTTTTGTTTTCCAACTTTCTTACACATATGTCAAAGCTAGTTTTAGTCGAAAATTACTTTGTTCAAGTCCAATGATATGTTTCCTGCTCCCCTGTGGTATCCTATTTTTGTTTTATCACATTTACCGCTCTCTTGTACAAAGCACAATGAAAGGTAGTGGTTGTGCACTGAACATCAACAGAGCCATTCAATAGTTTCCAGTTCATCCGATCATAAGATGCATTATCATATATCTATACAGATTTCTCTACTATTTTCTGCAAAGATCCTCTCATGCTGAGTCGTTAGAGGTGCATAAGCAAACATGAGGAGATTCCCTAGTACTTTTGCAGTCACCACGGCAATCCCTGAATTTGGTATAAGCAACATCTGCTGCTTTTCCATCTCCCAGGAAGCTGGCAATCAGCCTTCTTGGCTATGCATTAGCAGAGAGAAAGGCATCTTAAAACACCTACAGGCTGTACCATCCTACTTGAGGCGGTACTTTACCTAATGTGATACCTAGATGCCTGCTTTGGCCTAGTCAGTGTTAACAAGAAGTAGTCCCCATGTTTTTGTCCTTAAAACATCAAAGGCATTGAGGAAACTGGGCAATGAGTCTACTGCAGACTTCAGTAGCTTCAGAAAATAGAGTAGCTATCCTGTGCTGAGCAGAATTGTATGTGTGACCTTAGACTTTTTAGCCTGTATTATTGAGAAAGGAAATATTTGCTAGGTTACTCAGATACTTCTGCCTTGAAGTGAGGCCTCAGTGTCTTTGAAAAGTGCCTTGGGATCACAGAAAAGCACATACACAGCCTTTGGAGGTGAATGAAATGGACTTTATTGCAGCTACTTATGTATGACTTTCAGGAGTTCTAAAATCCTGTAATACTGCACTGAAGTGTTAGTACTGGATACAACTCTAAGCCCTGCAGCGTTGCTTTACAGAATCACAGCTATTACCAGTGCCAAGAACAGGTATTTACACCTGTTTTTCTCTCATATGTAAGATAATTTATTGTGGAAAGTAAGCAAGCCTATCAATAATCAAAGTGACCAAATTGCAGTGAAGGGAGCAAAGTTATCCTCATTCCTTTTTTATTATTTGTTTATTCACAGCTGATTGTTAAATCTAGCAGCATGATCTTAACTACGAGTGGACGTATTCCATAAAACTAAATAGATTGCTATGTAAAGTTTTCGTTTAACAAGCTTAGTTGAGAAGTTTAGATATTTTGTTGCACATCTAATGACTG